GGCTCGGCCCTCCCAGCCTCTGCCGCCTGGCACGCACCCTCGCTGAGCCCCGGCGCGCAGCACCGAGGGAAGCAACGAGCAGCGCGGGCTGACAGCGAAGGGGAAGCCAGGAGGAGAAACAGCTCTGCGGGGAGGAGAAAGCTGAAGTGGGGTTGTTAGGGTGGCAGAGTCGTCATCAGTGAAACTTTTGACATTTCTGGAGCTTTTTGCTCCGCACCACAGCGGCTCTTGAGCCTTTTTCTATTTTTGTGAACTTCCCCTTTTTGCGGTATCTTCCTCTGGTTTCACAACTACGCAGAAATTCTCTCAGGCGCTGTTATTCTGTTCAGTCCAAATCCTGAGATAATGATTAATAAATCGAGAAGGAATCCAAGCAGCAGCTTGGAAACGTTCCCCTCTCCACACACACGCACGTCAGACACCCAGGGAGCAAAACAAAGCCCGAGTTCTATGTAAGGCCTGATGAGTCAGACAGAACTTACATCTCGCTCCTGCTACGAGGATAAAATCCGTGCTGAGTGTTAGACACGGAGCAAGCTATTAATTTACGCTTTATTCGTATGATATATGTTTATAATGAAGGAACCGTTACCAGATTTGCTCTGTATACGTGTCAGATCTTGAGATAAGTCCTTTTTCCACTCTCTGACTACACGGGATGACCAAGCTCCTCCTTGAGCACCGCGTGGAAACTGGCACGCTCCTGTCCAGACCCCGACACCAAGGGCAGGAATTTGTCTAAATCACCATCCCTCCCTGCCTCGGTTTCCCCAGCACGCAACAGCCACGGCGCTGACCCGACTCACGGGTACTGCAGAGCGGCCCGCTGCCGCCGCGAGGCTTTGGGGAAGTCACCCAGGCAGCGAGTCAGAACCCGAAGCCAGCTGCCCTCAGTGTGTATCTCTAGAGCAAAGACCCTCCCCTTCCAACACCAGGTTTCAAAGCCAGTGCCGCTGCACGGGGTAGAAATATCTTCGCCACAAACGCTCCCTGGCCACACAGAAACAAGGCGGCCACGTGCTGTGGAAGCACGCAGGAGACAGACCCCAGGGCAGGCTCCGCTCCGTCGTACAAGGGATCGTGGCTCCCTCCTCCCCGGAACACGAGGGGACAGCAGGGATTTCTGTCAGGAAACACTGATCCCACGCATCGGCAGGAGCCGGGGCCTCCTTTCTATTT